AAATCTCGTTCGGGCCATCTTTGATTGCTTGAAAGAGTGCTGAGACAGCCCCACTTTCAACAAGTTGTGTTGCATCCCTGTACGTTGACATCTCCGTGCACAAGTGACACAGAACCAAATTGGCAAACTTATGGGTTAATTTCAGATTATATACGTGCCTCAGTTTACCTACACCAAGGTCAGGACAAATTAGAACGAGGAGAAATTGCTTAAAGAATAATAAAGAAAGGTTTAGTTGAAGACGTTACATACCAGATCTATGGAATCGAGAGAAAAGGAGTCGCAATATTCTATCCATTTTCTCAACCAGTGCTACTGCAATACCAAAACAGACAAACACCATTCGTTCATGCTAGCTTGGCTTTATAAATATATATGGATATAATATTTATCATCCAAACCTCTAAAATATTAAGAGAAAAGATATTTCAAAATTATATCGTTTTAATAAATGTAAAGAAAAAAGATCAAGTGACGTTAGCCACTCTTGTAAGATTCACCTCCCCCTCCTCAAGGGAATGGTTCTAACTAGCCCCATGACCAAAATATTCAAAAAAAAAAAAAAAAAACCAAAACACTTTTCATTTTTACTTAAAAACAAGTTATTTTAGTCTTTTTTTTTAATAAGATTTTATTAAAACAACATAGTTTTGAGACTTTTTCATCTTAATTTTTTAAAGATTTGGTTGACATATACTTTAAATATATATATACTACACTTACATAAAATCGCAATCATTTATCTATTTACTATTAATAATTGAGATTTTATCAAGTTTTTAAATGAAAAAGAATAATTATCTTTAATAAATATAATAAAAAAATAAATCTCAATCTATAAGAATGGAGAGGTGAATGATTGAGATTGTGTAAGTGTATCCTTACTATATATATATATATATATATAAAGGAAATAGTATTTATTTGTTTTATCCCTAAAAATTAAGAGAAAAATTACTTTGATATCATGTCATTTCAATAAATTTCCATTGAAAAAATTAAAATATCTTATTTTTAAAACATAAATTAAATTGTTTTTTGTTTTTTCTTGTAATACTTTATTAAAAGGACATAATTTTAAAATAATTTTTTGTTTAATTTTTAAGAATTAAGGTAAATAAACACTAATTCCATAAATAAATAAATAAATATATGTTTGTCAACTAAGTTTCTAAAAAATTAAGGAAGAAAATCTCATAAGTACGTCGTTTTATTAAAATATCAAGGGGAAAATCAAAACAAACTCAATCTTGATTTAAAAATAAGTTATTTTAATCCTTTTCAATCATGCATATCAATATTTTATTGATATAGATTATGCATATCAATTTTCAAGTTGATTTAAAATTTATAATCATTCGATCAGAAAATTTATATTTTTTAATAGATACTTAATAATGATAAAATTTTTATAATTAATAAACTAGTTATATATTTAATGAATCTAAAAATTGATATGCAAAATCTATGTAAATATAATACTAAATCTAATTGTTAAATTTTAAATATATTCATTAGATAGTGGTGTTTTTAAAGTTGAGATTCTAATTTTTCTTTTTTTTTTTTCTGAAAGTTAGGAACAATATGCATTATTTTCACAATATATTGATGTTTATCAGATGGGTTTTTAAAAAATTAAGAAGAAAAACGCAATATAACTATGTTGTCTTAGTAAAGTCTAAAAAAAAAAAAAAACCAAAATACTCTCATCCCTACTTAAAAATTAAGTCATTTCATCTTTTCAATGGTAGTATATTATAATAATAT